AACCGAGTAGCGTCGATGTTCGATTTCCACTTGACACGGAATATGCTTCGCCGAAGATTCTCTGCCTTTTTTGCTGACCGAAGGCGCTTGATACCCAACAGCTAAGTGTAAAATTTAAGACTTATAAATTTTTAGTAACTTGACAATGCTTTCCAAGTTATTTTCGTTTGTAACTGTAGTAACTGTAGTATATGTATGTCGTCTGTATAATCTGTACTTTTTTACAACACATCATTGGGACTATTTCTAGTCTGTTGATGCAACCATAACAAATAAACAAATAAACAAATATAGTGATAAGGTAAACACTCGTTTATTTTTTTCCTTCTGTGAAAGCATATTTTGTCACAAATCGTGGATTTTCTGAAATTCTCCATACTGCAAAAATGATTTTCCTACCACTGAAGGGGCGACATCTCTCGGATCTTCAGTATAGCTACTACTGAAATCATATAATTAATTGAAATGTCCTCTTTAATTGAGATTTTTTTGGCGCGATTGGATGTCTCCTGTAGCCGCTGCACCAGGTTCCCCAGGAGACCTCCCGTCTGAGTCGTCGTGGGGCGGGACGTCTGGCGGTCACACCACTGGAGCTGGAATAACGAATTTTTTTGTGGTTATTCTCTGATAGATGACCCAGTCTTGTACGTAGCCGTTTTTGATTTGGTTGAAAAATAAAAATTTGGCGACGTTTTGAAAAAAACAGTCCGTTTTTGTACCCTAAATTGGAGATAAAAGCTTGCACCAAAGATCCATTTTTGATTCTTTTGAAAATCGGCTACGTACAAGACTAGAAAAAAAGGTACTTAACACGAAAATTCAATCGCCGTTTAAATCGAATGAGCCGTTTCTAAAATACAGCGCCCACCAATTTTGAAAACATCGTTTAGAGATAACGACGCGGCAGCAGTTGGAACTACTAAGACGCGCCGTTCCGCCGGTATCGGGTGGGTACTCCGAGCGCTCACCTGAGCGCGCTTGGAGCGTCTGGACACGAGTCCACTAATCGGCCTATAACTTTGGAACGATGTCACTTGCGGACTTGCGGTCAAGTCTATGTCAAAGTAGACATTCCAAAGTATTTTTTAAGCCAAAAAAAAAAGATTTTTTTAAATTTCCAGAGTGGACTACCCCCTTAAGATAACAATCCTAATAGTTACTTTCACATGGAAAAATATTGTTGTTTGAAAGAAACCTATAGTTTTTCCAACATTAATTTGAGCGTCAACTCAATCATTAACCTCAAGTCCGTGCTCTGTCACAATGTTTCATTGCGATTAATCAACGCTCAAAGGGATAAAATATCAAATTTGGGGTGAATTGGAAAGAAGGGGAACTTGGAGTGTAGAGCGCACTGCCCACTGGACGATTATGAAGCCTGGTCAAGTGAGTGGGGTATGGGTTTATTTGATTGAACGTCATTTCCAATTTATATATTGATACATTCAAACCATTGGCATTTGGTATTTCAGATAAGACAGAGATAGGTTGCGGAGGGTCCGTTATGGTTTCCATTTATTAAATAGTTCAGATAGGCTAGAAATGACAGGTTTATAGTTAGAGAATGTAGCATATTGGGAAAGCATAATTTTCATAGGGTTCAGAGCGACTGAGATTATTTAAAGAGCTCAATATAAAGTAGCTTTATACAATTAAATAGAAATGCCAAAATCTTACCGAGCAGTTGCTGTTCTGATTTCGGTACAGTTTGTTGAAATCGGGTATAGTTTCTGAATATGGATTCCCATTTTGAAATAACTCAGATTAGCACAGAGTAATAGTTTTATTGCTAGGGAACTTTCTTTTGGGATGGTATTTTCTTCATTTCTCATTATTCATACTACATTGATCATGATCAGTCTTATACCATAGAGGTAACTCTAAGACTAGAAGGTCCCAAAATAACGTGCTCAACTTTTTGGCTCAGCTCTGGTACTCTCTTCGGTCCCAAGCTAATCGATTCACCCCTCGAAACATAGGAAAAACCAATAACCCCTCATTTTATCTGTCAAACTTTCATAGCGAATCAAAACAAACATAGTGTAGTACTGGAATTTATACTAGAATGGGGTACGTTAGTCGATTTGCTTGGGACCAATAGACTAGTCAAGTAGTGAGCCAATTTAAAATCGTTAGTTTCGTATTGATTGTTGGTACTAGTTTGGACATTTTGCGCCGGCTAGTCACGATTGCGGCATGCTATACGGTCAGGTCTGGCATGTTTTAACGCTTAGGCTTGGTAGGCCCTCACCTAACACGATGGGTTGGCAGTGGCCACCAGGGTGAGGGCTGATAAATTACAATTACAATTAATTTGAGCGTCAACTCAATCATATCTACCTATTAGATTCAACTGTTCATCTTATACTCAATTCAACTATAACTTTGATCCATTATAACAACCGTCAAATGTAATTTATTTATATAATTTGGTTTCAAGTGATCATCATAAATCCACATACTTTTAACTTGAGATGCGTAGAGCAGGCGATAAAATAGCTGGCTCTCACGCAGATGAACACGGTTCAAATCTATGTTTAATGTTCTCGTTCACTTTTTTTTTATGATTTTGCAGTTGTGTTTTTGAGATTGACAAAGAAGTAAAACAATCTTCCTAAATATGTCAATAATGAAGAGCAGTTCGTTTAATAAACATTGTAAAATTTTGTTTTCCCAAACAATAGTTTTCTTGAATATACTCAAGCATAGTTGTATCGTTGTATTTTGAAGTTTGACGTTTGTTCATCTACTGAAAAATATAGTTGAGCCAACTATGGAATATAATTGTTGCTCTATATATATAGTATATATACTATAGTTCCCTGGGCTTTGGCAAAACCTTGAGGTAGTTTAATTAGGCTACCAAGTCCCAGGGCTGATCTGGATCTTTACCACATTTACCAGTGTTGCCAGATCAGTGTTGATGCTTACCAAAAGTGCATTTGAACCCGCTTATAAAAGCATATTAACAGATTAATCATCACCGTACATTGTTTATTGCTCTGATTGCTCTGTACTAATAATAAATGACTAAGCACAGAATTTGATATTTTAGTATTAGGAATGCTGGATTTAGTCGCAGTGGAAATCATCTTTTTTTTTAATCCATCCTTTATTGAATTGGATTTATTTCTATGGGTATGCACGTTTTGAAAGTCCGGAGAACTTCGAGATTAGGGCGTAATTGATTTTGTAAACAAACACGTCTATCACCGATTTCTCGCGAATAAGAGCTCAATCTCAAAAACTAATAACACAAACAGATAGAGGAATGATTTCTATTTAATTAGGTATAGTTTGTTCTTGAAATTGACCTATTATACGTGAGAAATCGGCGATTGATGCAAAAGCAATTACGCTCAAATCGCAAAGTTCTCCGGAAGTATCATCACAAAGATTCTGCACTCGGTCTACTGCTTGTGGGCGAGAAGCGTTGTGTTTGTTTTTGTTTTTTTAATCTTTAGATTCAATTCTTAGAAATACGAAGCGAAAGACAAATCAAGCATTAAGCACAAGACCTTCAGGAAAACTAACAACACGAGGTCTGTAAATGGCAATGTTTCATTCAAAACGTCAACTATTTCAAAAATATCGGGTGAGACCAATCTAATTGTATTTAATTTTTTTTTGTGTAGTAGGATATTCAATTGAACCGCTCCGGGTTATTATAAAGCCCTTCCCTTGGCTAGTTTATAACCTGGACGTTGGTGCTTCATAGTGGAGCGTTGGAGACGGTTGGTTTAGGTCCGGCATCGTTGGCTCATGCCGTGGCAGAATGAGGATTACTGAGCTTCCCCTCTCTGATGAACCATTGCATGAGAGAACCAAAGTTCTAGTCTGAAGTGATATCAGGCATAACATTTGATAACGGCAGAAAAGCATTTGTAAACAAACTTTCTAAGGCCTTTTACACGCGAACCAAAATACGCCCACGCAAACCAACAACATCATCGGATAGGGACAACTATCACCTTTCCGAAAGTGGTATTGGTTTGCGTGGGCGTACTTTGATTCGCGTGTAAAGGGCCTTAAAAAGTCAAGATCATAGGTATAAAAATGAAACTACAATGTGTTGACTTTTTTACCTAGGGGATGAGTACTTAAGGGGGTTAGATTTTGATAAATTCTTTAGTGGGAATGACACTGATGAAGACTGCACATTGTAGTCGAAATACGTATCTGTCATGGATACCAAAATTAATTAAGTGGAATTAAATGGAAGATAAAACCCTTTTCCTGTTTTATTTAGCATTCCGCTAACAACCCAATTTCATTACTTCATTATGATTTTTATGTTAAACATTGATTTCACATTACTTCCCTAATATCAAGTACCATACACTAACGATATCATAGATGGTACGACCATATCACATAAAGTTGGGATGATATCCCGAATTGGTGGTTAGGCGCTTCTTATGGTTATTGTTTATGCGGGTTTTAACATAAAATTCGTTTGAAATCAACCGAGATTATTTTTGTGGCCAGAACAAACTGAGTTTACGTTTATATTTACCTCAAATATTTTTAATTCAATTGTACTTTTTTTTAAATTTTAATGAATGAATTTTCAGCATAATCGAATAATGCTTAAATTTTATTCTATTTTCGATTAGTTATACTTGTGAGTGTACAAGAATCCTCCAATGCCCCCTCGTTTCACTACAGCACTGCTTCTGGTCAATGTTTAACCGCACTCAGCAAATTCACCTCTCACTGGAACAAAGTCTACTCTTAACCCTCACCCACCACCCTCACTTTGCATGAGCTCTGGGTGCTGGGCTGGAACCTGGGAACTCATTCCCTTGAAAAGAAAAATAAAATTATGCAAATTTCAAGCCGCCGTCGAACGTCCGTACTGCGTGAGTTCCACCAGAGCGGGGTTCCGCCGCCGAGTCCCCTCCTCTCGCGCAGTCCGCCGTCTCACTCACTCGCTTGCACGCTCACCGTTCATCAAATCATCATTCATCATTGTGCTTTCAACCGTTGTCGAAGACGGACGTTTGCTTGGTCGTCGGTTCGTTTTGCTTTTTATGTACTTGTGACTGTTCTTTGGAAAAGAGTCCTCCTCCTCTGCGGAACGAGACGAGAAGTGGAGAGAAGAACACAGACAGACAGTGTGTGCAATCTCGCGGTGGCTAATCCTCCGCTCTATTCTGGTGTGTGAAGAACAATCCGTGTGCTAGAATGGAACAGAATTCGAATCGATAAAAGTGGTGAAAGTGCGCGGGGCTCGAAAGTGACGACGTCGACCAGGAAAAAAGTGCAATTTCTCTCTCGCTACAACAGTACTGCTCCCGTTCGTTGGGCACCCCCTCCTTTCTGCTTTTTTCCCCCATTGGCAGCGAAGAAGGTGTCGGCGGCGGCGAAGAGCCCACCACGGAGATATACAGTTTTAATGACTTGTGTGTGAGATACAATCGCATCATCAAAGGCAACAGCAGCAACATTTCCATTGAGCTGAGTTACTCAAACTCGGAGAGAGGCAATAAACAGTGGCTGGCAGGCAGGCAAGCACGCACACACACTCACGAGGGCTTGTGTCAAAAAAGCAACATTACATTGTTGCCAGAGTTGCGGTGGGGCGGCTGACAAGGGCGAGAATAGCCGCTGAACACTGCGCGGCGGCTTGTTTGTGTAAAGTGCGAACGCAGTAGTTGTCACCAACACAACCAACAAGGGACAAGCTGAAGCGCAGGGGTGTAATCGTGGTGGTGAATAAAAATCGAGTTTCTCAAAAGGTGCTCTGTTGGACTGAATGTGAAGGCAGTGACGGCAGAAAAGCGACACGCATACTGACACCTTCTGACTGACTGTACAAATCGTGCACCAATACACACTTCGCGTCAATCGAGCGAGATCGAGATCTCAGACTTAACATACTTTCTAAATATAATTGACTCTCGACGTGGGAATCGAACGGACGGATTATTTTTGCGTTCCCGAAGTGAGCAAGAAGTGAAGTCTTTTTTATGCCTCAATACCCCGGTGGCTGTAAATTATCGGCGCAGGGTTGTCCTGAAGTGAAGCCTGGCTAGTGGTGTGGTGAAGTTGTAAGTGAATCCAGTTGGATAACGGATCAGGAATGTTGACCAAGTGGTGAAAGTGAATCGATTCTTCACTTTGAGAAAGTTTTTCATCGAAAAGTAGGAAAAAGGGAAAATTCTTCAATTTTTCTTCGTCATCTGTGGGTGTGTTGGTGTCTTCTGGCGGCGCGCGTTGGTGTGTGAGGATAGGAAGGAAAAAAAAAGATGCATAAATATAGGCGGTCGAGATCTATCTAGCTGCGTGGATATGGATGTGTGGGGATCTCCCGCTATCACGCCAGGTGGATGTGTGCGTATTTTTCGCAAATGTCAAATATGACAACAGTGTTTTAGCTTGTTTTCCATGTCCGCCATTTTCTACCGTCGCCATCGGATGGTGAAAATTTGCCATCTAGTAGTCGGTGTCGACCGTGGTGAGTTAACCGTACCGAATCCAGAAAGAGCCTACTACCGACCCGCGGTGAAGAATTGAAAGAAAGCGCAGTGCAAAAGTGAATAATTTCCAAGCCTACTTCGGGAAGAAATTTTCGATTACTGAGAAGAGAAGGGTTCTCGCTTTCAAGTGCTGTAGGCGAAAAGAAGAGAGAGAAAGAGAGGTGTCAGTCTCGAATAGAAATTGGTGATTGTGCAGTAGTGTGTGTACGTTCAATGTACGCGAATCCTAGTATGGTGCATGAAGTGAATCGAAGCAGGGAGCAGCAGAGCGCAATCTTACCCACACAGTAAATAACCGAAGTAGTGTCAGCAATAGCAGTGTAGAAATTGTTTTTACCTCTCTAGTGAAAATGTTAAGCATAACATAACCATGACGCACCAGAATCACCAAACTAACGGCGCAAGTTTGGAAGATTGCCACACCAACTTTTTCGCCCTGGTAAGTTCCGTTCGTTTTTTTCTTCTCTGCCCTACTGTTTGCTTTCAGCTTTGTTCCTGACGTTTTTTTTTGCGGCACGCTCTCGTCGGTCCGGAATCGGTCTGACCTCTTTCGGTTGGAAGAGTGTTTCCATTTGTTGCACTACTAAGTCAATAGGATCAAAAACAAGATCGATCATACGAAAGCAAGTCGTCCAAAACAAAACAAAGTGACGTTTTGTTGATTGACTGTCCACATCATCATCATCGTCATCGACAACAGTGAACTATATGCGGTTTCCTTGACTTACATCATAAAAGGCAACGTAAACACAAACCACCATCAACAGCAGCAGCTGCAGCAGTTTCAAGGCAACAGCGCTCGGTGCGGTACACACAACCCGCTCTGAGTCGCTCGCTAGCCTAGTGAGGTCATGTCTAATTGAGCCTTATCCGGCAGGGCGGTGTGTGTATGCCACTGTGTTTCGCACTGATAACCTGCTATCAAAGCGCGCGGCGCGTCTGGTTCATGTGCGAATCTTATCGCAAACGAATCCCGAAAATCGACCGTTGAATGCGAACGAGAAATCGAAGACATTCCCCCTTGTGTCATCACGACATATATCTGCGGCGCTATATACAGTTAAAGAACGGCAGCAGCACATACACAGACACATGGGTACATCATCTGTCTGTGGGAACACGGATAGGCGGCGGCGGCGGCGACGGCGGTGGTGGCGACCTGCGAAAGACCTACCATTCCTCCAAGCTCCAAGCTGAAAGCGAGAGAAGGAGAAGAATTCCAAATTTGCGCACCAACCAGCCAGCCAGTCAGTCAACCAATCCGACGACCGACCAACCAAGCAACTAACCGCGCTGGAAAACTGGTTCGTTCGTCACCTCCATCGGTGTGCGACCCCGGCGTGCGTAGTCGTTTGGCGAAAGGGGAGCCGGTGCAGAAACTAATCGATCGGAACAGAGGCGACCCTTGGGCTTGGGATATAGGTTTTTTGGCCCGGTTGATAAGTCGTGAAATCAGGGGACTGGTAAGGTGACAGTTCACTGTATTCAACATCTATTGTGATCAAAGTAAACAGTGATAGAACAATCATTTTCGTTTTTTTTTGTATATGATCTTAAGCCTCGTGAACATGTGCTTTGTTCAGTTCCATTTGAGATAAAATAGACACGAAGAAGAACTCTAGACTAACATTTGAAAAGGGCGTAATTCCAAAATGACCATATCGAGAAAATCGCTTCTGAATTTTGTTGACCTAAAAATTAATACTATTACACGACTTTCCATTTTCTGGTTGATTTTATAAGCTTGACATATAGTTAATAGTGTAATCTATCATCATCCATCACTAAAAACTCAAAAAAAAGTTTTCTTTGTCGTGAAATTGAGAAGAAAACATCATACGCCCTGATAATTTCATACATGTTGTTACCCCCCAGATCATCCACCCTTTGAACTGCCAACACTGGTGATACGCCGTGGAAGTACACCCTCGGGATTTTTTGTTTGTTGTTCCGCCTTGGTTCTTCGTTCGCAAATTTTGTGAGAGTGGAATTACGCCCGGAGATTTTTTGGTCTTCTTTTTGTTCGTTGTTTACACGTGAAATATCAATCGGATGCGTTTCAAATGAATCGGGCGTGACTAGACACTACAGAGTCAATACGTTTGGCATATTAAAACAATATAATTCGTTGTTCTGGTGCAAGGCGTAACAACCATATTCATCATAGATTTGAAAGTTGGAAATACGCCATGTAAGAAGAAACGTTTTTGGTGATTTGAAGTGATATTTTCTTCTACTTTTTCGTGTTTATCGAGAAGTTTGTGAACTATTCTCTCTATATGTGGCAAAATATGGTTTGTTTACATTTTGGCTCTTACGCCCCTTTCAAATGTTAGTCTAGAACTAATACAGATTTTCTAAACAATCAGACCGCCATCGGAAAGGTCTTGTCCACCTGATCAAGCATCTATTCAACAGTCAAGTTAAAGCAAGCAACTAGAAGTGAAATGGATCAAATGGAATTCTATGTTCACCATCCATCTGAACAACCTTACGAAAGAAAACAACGCTAATAAACAAAATACCATAAACGAACGATAACCTAAATAATAGAACTATTCCACAAATTGTTTGGATGATACCCCGACGTGTTCGGCAAAATAACCATAACAATTTTATTAGGGAACCTTACCAAAGAAAACAACCTGCTATCTAGCTGAACTGTTAAGTTTTTTTTTCCTCTGTTCGGGACCTAACACTACTGCGACCAGTAATTTGATCTATTGTAGATTATCCCGTGTCCTTAGTTTAGTGCATGTCGTATTACTCCATCACTATTGAGAAATAATGAAGTATTCGATTTTTTTTACAGTTGTCATTCTTGAATTTATCGCAAGGATCCGACTCTAATTGAAAGGTCCCGCTATTTATACCCTCCAAAGGCGCGCCCCTTTGCCAGTCAAAATTGGATTCCTTAGCAACAAAATTAAGGAATGACACCGATAATGACCATGCATCAGAACCCTAGTATCAACCACTTCAAACTAGAGAACAACGAATAGAAGATTAGGAACCACAAAGATGAATACTAACTAACTAATTTTTCCTTGTTTCAAGATCATCCTCGGTGGACAAAGCCGAGTCTTGTCACTATCAGCAAGGCATAAAAAGTAACAAGGACTAAGATGTGTTCCTTTGATTACTGGAAAAATGCTGTTCCCCTAGTTTGAAGTAGTCGGGACTAGGAATCGGTGGTAGATCTTACATCCCGTAACGTACCACGAAAAGGTGATTTATCCACGTTACGGAGCAACTGTTTTGGAAAGAAGCTCGTTGTCATTCGCACAGACCAAGGCGGCGAATATAAGGCGCAACGATTGGGGAAGTTCTACTGGACGCACGGGATCGTGCCACAGTACACCGCAAGCTACACACCACAACAGAATGGAGTTGCGGAACGCAAGCACCGGACGATCGTTGAAATGGCACGATGTATGGTTAATGGGGTGCTATTTCATTAGCGCTAATGAGCTAGCTGCTAGCAAAAAAAGCTCACTAGCATAATGTTAACAGAGCATCAGCGTCTACCAGCTTGAAATTTCGGAAGCAACTGAAATTCGTGCTAGTTGGCGAGTACACTATAACCGACGCGAAGATGGGATATCGCTTTTGGGCAGAAGCAGTTAACACGGCGGTTCATTTGCAGAATCTTTTGCCATCACGCGTTGACTGGAGAAGACCCCCTTTGAATTCTGGTTCGGCAAGAAACCAGACTACACGAACATTCGCAGGCTCGGATGTGCTGCGTTCGTTCACGTGCCAGGAGTGAAACGAACCAAGCTGGAACCGAAAGCAATCAAGCTCACGTTCGTTGGTTATTCGGACCACCACAAGGCTTTTCGATTCATCAACCAAGCTACCAATGAAATCGTGATGAGCAGGGACGCTCGATTCATGGAGGATGAACAAAGCGGTTGGTCAAGATTGTCAACCATCTCCGGCAGTCGCATTTGCGATCTACGCAGGACCACACACTTTCCTTGAAAGCAGAGGAGTCGACATTGGAGGTTTACGGGGATGCAGATTGGGCCAGTGATTTGCTAATATTGATTGTCGTATGTACATATTTTGGATTTCATGTTTAGAAAAACTTGGCCAAATTCAGGACCCCATGGAAATGCGAATATCTAGTTAAAATAGGAATATATGACGAAATATAAACAGATTCCCGCCTTAATTTTTGATTTCTGGATGAGTTGTCTTGGAAATTATTAAATAAAAAAATGTTTCTCTAAAACAAGTGAACTTCCCCGCCATTGATGTTTTGGGAAAAAAAAACAATTACCCACATTTTTCAGTAGCTTCATCATTAGTTAGAAAAAAATATGATTTAGGCGGGGTATACCAAGCCATTCAATAGCATAATTATCCAAGTAGGAGGGGCTTACAATCATAATCTAAAAGCATAAATAGAGTTACCGTCTGATAATATTAGTGCTTGGTACTAAAATCTGTAATCTGTGACAGGTGAAACACTTTTTAGCCATTACAGAAACACCGCGTTTTCTTATGCAAAATGCATGAAATCTTAAAAAAAAAGACAAAATATAGTGAAATTTGTTAACTCAATTGGAAGATGTACCAATAATTGATTGGAGGGATTCGAAGCTAAAATGTTCAAACTAGGTGCAAAATTGTGTACCCCTTTTGTGTGCTTTTTTTTAGCATTCTGAAGAAAGCCCTACCTTAACTACCGTGAAAATTTATTCAAAACCTCTTACAGGATTTTATTAAAATATTCTCATTTCCTTGGGAATCATTTCCCTTCATGCAGATTATTTCAGAATTATTCTTAAATAAGTTTGAGATTCTCTCTAGGAGTCCCTAAAAATATTTAGGGGAATTTACGTATTCTCGTCAATCTAAGCAGCGTCCGCACTTCTATTAGCATTTTCACAGCGTCACGCACATATATGACGTGTCTGTTTGTTTCAATTCATCTGCTGCTTGCTTCTCTATCCATTCCAATCGACAGAATTCTTCAAAACGGTTTGAAAGCGTTTTTACAACGTTCTAAACTTCTCAGGTGAGTGTGACTATTGTCGGCAGCCTCTTTTTCTTCGGCAACCTTCCCATCAGAACTGCGTGTTAACCAGCTGTTCTATTATCGGCAACTCGAAATCAGCCCCATTTTGTATTACGTATGCTTCATTTGAAGAAAAATCTGGCATAAAAGGATTGCTCGGTCCTACAAATATAATCAGATTGAAGCTGAAAGACTAAAGAATCATTTGGATACATTCAGGGAAGTGTGTTGATGGTAAAACATAGTGAAATTAACGTTTAAATTTTGATTGCCGAAAACAGTCAATGGGTGCCGAAGCCGACATTTACCCTATATTCACAACAGATCGATCCTAAAAAGCATGAAATTCATCCTTCGATTTTTTTCGAACCTTCCTTCCATAAGTCTATTTAAAATTCACTTGAATTCTCAAG